AAAAAATTAGACCCCCCCCAAATAAGACCCACTCACAAACTAGACAACTGAAATGAACAGACTGGAGTGCAAATTGTCAATAAATACTTGAAAAAATATTCAGTTATCTGTGGCCATCAGAGAAATACAAGTTAAAACAACACTGAGATTTCATATTACTTTAGAAAGGATGGCCATCATCAACAAATTAAATAATAAACGACAAGAAGGCTGTGGGGGGAAAGGAACCCTTCTACATTGTGTGAAACAACAAAGGCATATTTAGGACAACTGGAACTATGGTGGGGGTTTGTTATTTAGGTGTTTCCTAAAATGCTGGTAACTGTCTTTAAATTCACACCTTGGGCTGGGGATATAGCTCAGCAGCACAAGTGCTTGCTTGGGAAGCGCAAGGTCCTGAGTTTGACACCTGGTACAAAAAAAAAACAAACACACAACCACACAAATTCACACCTCATGATGTATTTAGTACTTGCTTTATGCATCCACAGAGCTCTGGAGTGAGCTAGTCATTTCTGTGTTCTTGAATTCATGTTTCTTTGTTAACATTTTAAGTAAGTGGCTAAAAAATTCCTTCCTGAAAGTTAGAAAGAGAGAAAAAAAAACCACTATCTGGATTAACCTGACTACTTTTCAAGTGACTGATTCTATGGAATGCCAGGTCAGCACACACAATTTCTTCTAATTCAGCCTAAATAAAACTTTTGTAGAAGGCACAGCCCTTGCTGTGCTCCAACTGCCTCAGCAACAGGTAGAGACAGTGCTGTAGACAACGTACATGAAAGGTTGAGTGTGGGTGTGACTAGCACAGGCCTGTGCACATACACGCTGTGCACGCACACATACATGTATGTGAACTGACACAAAAGTGGACTCTGGTTGCAAAGACAACTACTAGCTGGGCATGGTGGTGCACGCCTGTAATCCCAGCACTTGGGAGGCTGACACAGAAGAATCACCATAAGTTTGAGGTCAGCCTGGACCACATGGTGCGATCCTGTCTTTAAAATACCAAAAAGAAAGAAAAAGGTGACTGCTGAGGAAGCTTCCTGGAGGCCTCCAGGGAATTCTGATGTGATTTGCTTTAATGGCCTGAGGACACACTGGGAGCACCCCATCCATAATGAAGCATAAAGTGGCTACAGTTGTAATCCAGGCCTTTTATTGGAAGATGGTATTGATGCAGGCAGCTCTTATGAAAGCTTTCTGGTTAGGGCCGATCATCTCTCTGCCTCTGAAATGCCATCAGCTGTGTGCAGAGTCCCAGACCCGAGAGGATCCCTCGTGGAGAGTCCAACTCTCCAGCAAGCAGCCCCGGGAGATGCCTGGGTCCAACATTTGGTTCCAGTTTAACAGGAACATCTTAATGTGAGGACAGTCTGGCACTTCTCAATCTGTTTAAGTATTACATTTACTAATCAATGTCATTTTGGAGAGAAATCCTTCCACTGTGTGTTTGTAAAAAAAATAGCAGCAGGCTATGTGCTGTTTGTAAAGAAACTGTAGAAAGGAATAAATGAAGCTGGCCCCGCCAAGTGGCCTTGGTTGACCTGACACTTAATGGAAGTTCTGGGAGATAGTAATTGAGGGACCTCATCACCAATTAGACATTCCAGAAGTTGGCTGAGGACTGCATTGGAACTAGGGATGCAGTCAATAAAAATTACAGGACAAAACACACCTAGAAATGGGTACCAGCAACCAGGAGCTTTTCAGCAGCCTAAAGAATTTTAATCCCGGTCCCATTTAGAGAAAGTTAAAGCTAATCTTAGTGGAATTTCTTTGTTCAACGATAGCTCTGCCTGGCACTTACTGGCTAAGGTCTGTTTTAAGAATAGCGAATTTCCCAGGCAAAGTAGCGCACACTTGTAATCCCAGCACTTGGGAAGCTGAGGCAGGAGGATCATTGCGAGTTCGAGGCCAGCGTGGGCTATAAAGTGAGTTCAAGGTCAGCCTGAACTGCGTAGAGAGTCCCTGTCTTAAAAAGACAAAAA